TTCCCTGTGCCCTCTGCCCATTTGCCTCAGAGGTCCTTGGGTCACAACTATTTTTTATTTAAAAATACTGTGTACCAGAAAACTGTGGAATTTCATTTTGAGTTACATGAGCCGAAGGGCCAGGATGGGAAATAATCATTCTTGGATGAGCGATGGCTTTAAGATCTGATATCTAATGAAAATTTTACTTCAACTAGAAAGCTAGGGACCTCTCTTCCTACTGGTATGAGACATTTCTTGTTTCTAGCCGTGCTAGATCACGAGACCTTAAAATCAAAATATAATTGATTGAAAAATAGATTTTTTTTGCAATTTTACAGTTTCTAAAATGTATTAGTTAATTTTCTTCTCCCTCAGAAATCTGTACAGCTACTTGTGGTAACTAACGTGCCTGTCTTTATTAGAGAAGGGTAAGGAAAGTCATAACCCAGTCTACTATAAAATTTCCTAAACCACTTTATGTAACATATGCAGAATACCGGCTGGTATGGTGCAATATAAATATTTTATATATCATGATTGCACAACTGAGCTACACTGAACTATATAGCTCACTCATGGCATCCCATACTCATACTTAAAATCTTCATATCACAACACAGTATCATGTATCCTAATTTGAATTGTATGTTGGTCTCAAAATGGCAGTTAATACAAGCTTCTTTTTAAAAATAAATAAATAAATATAGTTGTTGCCTATTGATCCCAATTCAGCCAGATCTGGTTAAAAGTTCTGAGAAATCTTGCTGGATTAGGGATTTATTTTTTCAGTTTTGTTCAGGCTCCCACAATTCTATTGAATTTAACAAACTAATGAGAGTGGAGGGGCTAAGTCTCACTCATGCCGTTGTGGGATTCACGCATGTAAATTCTAACTGCGTTCACCTGTGGTGGTGCTCAAAAAAAATTGCACGCCCAAATGCCTGTGGTGCATAGCTTCATATGCACAGAGGCCATATTTTAAAAGGATTGCTCCTGTATACTTAGCTTATTGATTACAAAGGGAAGACTCTGAATACTGTGACAAATCTATAGCTTCTCATGGAGTCAGGATTGCTGCTATGCTGCACAATGTGACTACTCAGAATGTTCGCCCGTGTGCTCTAAAGCCCATTAAAATCAATGGGCTTTGGAACAGGCTTGAACATACAGGTTGACCACTTGCGAAGAGGGATGGCATCTCCAGTGATACATTATACTCTAGCCAGTACAATAACACTGTTAATGTTTTCTCAGTATGTTACCATTTTTATTTCCCTTGCACAGTACAAAAGTTTTAGTATGAAAAACAAGATATCAGTAATGGAAAAGGCAAATTCTAATACTAAAATACTAGAAGTTGGGCTTAAAGTAAATTCAATTTGAGCCTGCCACTCCTTCCTTAACTCCATAATTTGAGCAAATAAATGATCTTGGATTATAAAAAACATCTGTGTAGAAGAGAGAACTCACCAATCAGCATACCCGTTCACTACTGGATGGAGCATTACAGGACCGTCCCTTCAGTCCCCTCCTTCCAGCGACGATTGGGGTCCTTGGTGGACTGGTTCTTTAGTGACTCAGTCCTAGAGCCAAGTTATGTACAGCCTCACCCCTTCTGGTGTATCAGTGTCCCAAATAAACTGTGTCCTTCACAGTACTAGTCATCAATTTGAAATCTTCCAGCCCTCCTGGACTCCTCTTCAATCCCACTCTTCTCAGAGTCAGGGATTTCTGGGCTTCTACCCAGCATCTCTCAGCAGAACTCAACTCCCCACCCTCCAAATAAAACAAGCAACGTAGGCCACTGCTCCTCCATGCCACCGCCCCCCCCGGGCTTGTGCTTTCAGTCTCTCAAGTTCTCCCCAGCTCCTTGTTCCTCTTCCAGACCACCAACCCAAAGGGCTACCTCCCAGAGGCCTTGTCCCTATTTCTGGGCCCCTCTTCTCCTGGGTATCTCCTCCTGCTCTGAGCTCCTTCCTTTACCTCCTCCCCAGCTGGGTTTGATAAGAAATTGAGTCTCACACAGCTTCCAGGTGTAAGCAGGTGGGCTAATTGTTCTCTCAGGCTTCTGTTAACCTTTCACTTACCCATGTTTAGTCTGTGGTAATAATGCTGTAGGGCATGGCAATACAGCCTTTGTTTCCACTTCCTGGTTAAAAGAAATTTCCTGGTAATCTGGAGATAGGGTTAGAGTGACATTTTTCCTCTTTATTTTTGCTGTATCGATTGGCTTCCTTTAGGAAAGTCCAGCGGGGGGGGATTTGCCACATAACAAATATGCACACAGCCTCAGTTTACTTCAAAACACAACTGCACCTGTGCATCAGAGGGCAAAATTTTGAATTCAGCAGTACATGAGACCAGTTTTACTGGAACCTTCTTTCTGGGCGCCCAAAATGAGACCAGACACTATGAGCTCTAGAAAAAAGAAAAGGAGTACTTGTGGCACCTTAGAGACTAACCAATTTATTTGAGCATGAGCTTTCGTGAGCTACAGCTCACTTCATCAGATTCATCATGAGCTCTAGGTTTTTTGCTGCCCAAGCAAAAAATTTGCCACCCCTGGAATTTGCCACCCCTGGAATTGTGCCGCCCCAAACGCGTGCTTGCTTTGCTGGTGCCGAGAGCCGGTCCTGACTATTAAAGCTGTTCTTTTGCTCAAAATGAATGTTAACAGCACATATTCAGTGTTCTGTGATACATTCATTCAGAACACTGAGGCTACATCTACATTTATGATGTTGCATAGAGTACAGTCACTGCACATCCAGTTAGGAAGAGTTTAAATAGCAGTGTAGACGATGAAGCACTGCTTAGCTGAGCAGAGTAGTATAGTGTGCCCTACAAGCCTGAGCCCTAGGCCAGCGGTTCTCAACCGGGGTCCGCGAGCCCTTTCAAGGGGTCAGTGGGGCCCTGCTGCTGAAGCCCTGAGCCCTAGCACCCACCCCCATGGGGCTGAAGCGTGGAGCAGTACAGAGCTTCAGCCCCAAGCCCCGGCGTGCCCCCAACCCCATGGTTCTGAAGCCGGGAGCAGCACAGGGCTGAAGCCCTTAGCTCTCCCCTTCCCTCTGCCAGCTGCAGCCGAGACCGCGCACACCTGAAACCCCAAGCTCCCCCACACTGCTGCCAGGAGCGGAGTGGGGCTGAAACCATGATGCAGGCAGAAACCTTGAGCCCATGGGCAAATTTGAGGGAGCACAAGGGTGTTGCCCCCCAAACTGCAGTGCCTTATCCAGAATGGGGCAGGTCCACCCCTCACGCTCCTCCTCTTCCCCAGCCCCCCTCAGGCCCTGCCCTCTGGCCAGGTCCTAGGCAGAGAGCCGGAGCCAGGCAGTGCGGGACAGCTACTCCTCTGGCTGGCGGTGCCATGGAGTGGGTGGCCGTGGCATTCCCCTGTCTGCTGCTGGTGCCCTCCGGGGTTGTGGCTGCTTCTCAGCTCCCAGCCCCCTTTGACTGCTTATGCAGCCAGTCAGAGCTGCCCGGATGGCTCTGGCCCAGCAGAGCCCTTGGTGGCTTGCTGAGGTGAGTCAGGGGGTGGAGGTGGTGCTCCCTCCCTGGACCCTGCCATGCAGGGCTGGCCAGCGCCCTGTCAGCCCTTGCTCCCCAACCCCAACTGCCGACCCCTGCCGGGCCCTGGAGTTGTTCTAGCATGTTGCAGGAGGCCTCAGAAAGAAAAAAGGTTGAGAACCCCTGCCCTAAGGTATATATCAAACACAGCTCTCTGCATGCAAAAGCTGTTCCTTCAGTTTAGTGTCCCACTGTCTCCTCACTGCCGGAGCCTTTCACTGCAGTGGGAAAAAACTCAGGCAGTGAGGAGACAGTGGGACACTAAACTGCTACACGCCACAAGCAGGCAGGCTGTGTTTACACTTATGTGTAGCTACACAGGGCAAAGAAAGGCTGCAGCAGCAGGGAAAGGCTTCTGCAGATCTCCACTGCCGGGAGTCTTTCCCTGTGGCATGTAGCTACACATCGCAGTGTCAAGCATGGACGCAGCCTGCCTCCCTGTGGCATGTAGCTACGTGTGTAGTGTCTGTAGTGTACATGCACCTGCAACTGTAGAATAGCCCATGTTGCAGGACAAGTTCTCCCCTCCAATAAATATGCACGTGTCTGTTGAGTCAGTAACAAACAGTAGCAAAACCAGCACTTTTGTTTTTAAAAAAGTGTACTTTTGAATGAGTATTTTGCAATCTTTCAAAAATATTTTACCACAATAGTGTCTTAGTTTATTCTTTTGAAAATACAATCACCATAAGCACACACTGGGGCAATATTTACTGTAGATGAGACAGTGTTAGCTAGAGCAATGCTGCAGAAAGCTACTGTACTATTTGTTTAGAAAAGTGCTATAATCACATCTTTCTACCATTGTCTCTACTATAGTTGTATTCAGATCTTTACGTGAATTTATTATGGGTTGTTTTATGACAGCATATTCTTCCCTATTATGGTTATTGTGCTTAGGAACAGGATTCTAGTCCAAACCTGCTTAATTTAATTTAATGGTTGCCAGGGCACATATTAGTACAATTTGTATTAAAACTGGGTTTGTAGATATCCATATCCATACTCATATCCACTAACTCTGTTCTACAAGATTTGTGTGCCTATTAAAGAAGACTAAGCAAATATTAATTTATTATTTATATTTTAATATTTCATTTACATTTTATCTTATATTTTAACGTAAAATGCTTTATAATTTATCTTAAAATATTATGCTAGATTGTGGAAGTCCAAAAGAAGGAGATGAATTCCCAGCTACATCCCTTTTAAATTTTACTGATGACCTAAAATATAGTAACAGCTTTTTCAATTGGATGTAATATAAGATGAATTATTAGCCTGTATATATCATAAACACATTCTTCCAGTAGGGATATATTCCAGTACAGTGTGTTGTATCAAAGGACTTCATGAAATAAGGTTCAGGAGAATGATAAATCTTGTATCATAATAATTGTCCTCAAGAATATATGACACAGCAATGGAAATCTTTTTCTCATATTTTTCAGAAATAAATGAAAATTCCAAGAAATAGAAGCTGCTGCTATACAAAGAAAGAAAAGACAAAGTATCTTCAGGGTTAATATCCTCCAACTGATATCCATGAACAATTACACAGTTATTTTTCTATATCGAACTTTAAGGTTTGTTAATAATATGCTGCCTTTGCGGGACACAGAGGTGCTAATGGTAAGAAGGCTATTTATTCACTATACTGAATAGAAGAGCTACAGAAACAATGGCTTCCAAGGTCTCATGTTTATATGTTCTGACAGTAGTTTGTTGGGCAAGTGCTCTTTGGTATTTAAGTATAACTCGTCCTACTTCTTCCTACACTGGCCACAGACACTTCAATACCATATCAATAGCCAGGAAAAATGTCTCCTTTGGTAATATAAGAACTCGACCTATAAATCCACATTCATTTGATTTCCTTATAAATGAGCCTAATAAGTGTGAGAAGAGCATCCCTTTCCTAGTCATTTTGATCAGCACGACTCACAAAGAATTTGATGCAAGACAAGCGATTCGCGAGACGTGGGGAGATGAAAACAACTTTAAAGGCATTAAAATAGCCACTCTCTTCCTTCTTGGGAAGAATGCAGATCCTGTATTAAATCAGATGGTAGAGCAAGAAAGTCAAATTTTCCATGACATTATTGTGGAGAACTTCATTGACTCTTATCATAACCTTACTCTTAAAACGTTAATGGGTATGAGGTGGGTGGCTACATTTTGTTCAAAAGCAAAGTATGTTATGAAGACAGACAGTGATATTTTTGTAAATATGGATAACCTTATTTATAAACTGCTCAAACCCAACACCAAGCCAAGGAGAAGGTACTTTACTGGTTATGTCATCAATGGAGGACCAATAAGGGATGTCCGCAGTAAATGGTACATGCCCAGAGATTTGTATCCTGATAGCAATTATCCACCGTTCTGTTCAGGCACTGGCTACATTTTTTCAGCTGATGTAGCAGAACTGATTTACAAAACCTCCCTCCATACCAGACTTCTTCATCTTGAAGATGTGTATGTGGGACTCTGTCTTCGGAAGCTTGGCATTCACCCTTTCCAAAACAGTGGCTTCAATCACTGGAAGATGGCCTATAGCTTGTGTAGATATCGCAGAGTGATCACAGTGCATCAGATAACTCCAGAAGAAATGCACAGAATTTGGAACGACATGTCAAGCAAGAAGCATCTCAGATGTTAAGATTTTTACAGATGTAAATACTTTTTTTTTTAATTTTGGCAGAAAGGAATCGGATAATTTATAGGCAAATTAACTTTGAGGAGGGTTTTAATAACTGCTTTTGCATTCTTGTCTTGACTCCTGGTTTGCACCCTTCAGACTCTATTCATAAAGACATTACAAAACTTAAAGGGGCCAGAGTCAAATCTCAGAATCATTGCTCCCTATCACAACTTTTAAAAAAATCAGCTCTTGCACCTGTATGTATAAGAACAGTAGTAGTTAACCAGAGCTGCATAACAATTCATGCCCATGCATCTGAGGTGAGAGTCTGGCCCTAAAAAATGAAGAATCATGTTAACATCTTTATCTCATCCTCACAAGCTATAAGTGTCTCTTTTTAGGGTTCTATTCATAAATATACACACAAATATAAAAAAATATACTCAGTGTGTGCATTTACAGCTTGAGTGCTATCTTTGCACTGATTTATACACCTATATTGGCATGTACATTTTACTATACAGTATGTGCAGTTTAAAAAGCAGTTTATTGCTGGCAGAAAGGCAGAATTTAAACAAGTGTGAATATAACATTGAAAATGAAAATAGTGTAGGTCTAAGAAACAACGCTACCTGCCTGAAAGTTATTTATTTAATAAAACCACATAACTCCCCCTAACTAAAAGAGCCCTATCTAATATAATCTTACAATGAAATATAATTTGTGTGTGAAATACAAGACAAAGAAAATGTCTGCAACAAAAAATAAAAATAAAATAAAATGTGTATTTGGGATAAAGGTACTTAATATACTTCAACATTTTCTTTTTAAAGCAAGTGCAGCATATCTCCTTCGGACGTGTAGAGATATATATGCACTAACAGCAATACTATTGTGGTACAGTATTATTGGAATAGACAGTATTATCACCAATAGAATTTTCATAAATTATAGTGTCTGCCAGAGCAAATATGTAATTTTATTGAATAATGAAAAATATCAATAAAATAATCCTTTCCTACTGTCTTACTGATTAGAAAGTCTTTGACTAGACTAAACTAGTCTATGTGAAACAAAGACTAAACTAGTCTTTGTTTCACATGTGGAGCTCCCAGTGAAGTCATTATTAATCCAAGAAGTCACTGAGGCCCAATTCAGGAAAGCATCTCAACTCAGGACAGCCCTTAAGCACACGCTTAACTTTAAGTATGGGATTGAAGTCAGAGAGGCTCAAGAACATTCTTAAATGTTAAATACATTCTTAAGTGCTTTCCTGAATCAGGGCCTGGGAGCTGAGCACACACAGATCCCAGGGCAGAATTTGGTCTTCAGACTACATAACATGTGTCTTCTTAATTTAAATTTTCCCCTCTAGGTACAAATGCCGTTCCCCTTTAGGATTCCCTTTCCTTCCGTGGCCTCTTTCTACAGTATAACCTGCTTCCTCATGCTTGCTCTTCTCTACTCCTGTCTTAGGCCTGTGCATATAATGAGAAGACAATAGATGTCAGAAGCACATCTCTCCAACCTTTATGTATACTAGTGGAGGGAGATTACTGAAAAATATTTTCTATTTGAATCATTAAAGAAATGTGCTTTCACTGCCTTCACACAAGTGTGCTTTCTGATAATATTCTTGCAGGATGTTCACTGGAACAAACAGATCTAAACAAATATTCTAGAGTATTCATGGAAATTGCATTTTCACCTAGTAAACATGACTATTCTCACTCAAAATCTGATATTAACAGATATCCTCATTCATCCTGGTGACCTAAATGTCCAATCAAAACAACTAAAATTTCAAATATTAAATATTTACAGTTGGAGATGGTCAAAAAAATCCAAAAATAATTTTGTAAAAAAATTCAAAATGTTGATCTTGTTTTTGTTTTGATGTGCTCAGAATGAAACTGTTACTCATTTTTTGTAAAATATTTATCATTTTTCAAAATGGTTATCTAAAATTTTCATGTTCTGAAAAGTTATTTTAAGAAAGTGAACATTTCTATAACCATTTTGACAACACATTTGACATATTTTCTTAAAAAATTAAAGCGGCACAGCATGTTTCATAAAAACAAATTTGACAACTGACATTTTTTCACGAAAGAAAATCATTTTTGAAAAAGTCCATCATTGCATGAAGAGTTTTGTCTGAAAAATTTCAGCCAAATATATTCACAATCCAATCCAAGAATTATTTGCTGAAATTAATTATTCAGAAAATAATTTCAGCAAAAAGAATTCAAGAATATTGCTGCATGTTCACAGTTTGCAAACTGAAAGAGGCAAAATTCATCATAAAAGTTATAGCTATGGATTATTCAGCCAACACTGGTGTCCAGTGTTGTGTAAACAGAAGGATAGTAAGTCCATATATCATTCAGGATATCCATGGGGAAGCAGTATGAAATAACTGATTCATTGTTTAAGTGAAATCTCTGAAGTAATTTTGCCTTTAATATTATCTGTTGTTAATATCATGCCATAGGTGTACATAGCACTTTATAAACAAGTATACGAACACTCCTCCACCAAGGAGCTTACATTCTAGTGACAAATCCTGCTAACCGTATTCACATAGCAGTATTACTGATTTCAATGGAACTACTTGTATAAATCAGGTGAGGAGGATTTGGCTTTTAAACCACACTATATAGTGCAGTGAGTGAAAACAATAGGTATGGAACTTTACTTCAGAGTTAGAAGTGAAGCTATACAGTAGTTAGCCCAATAGTTGCTGTTAATTTATAACTACAGTAGCATGTGTATCCTTAGAAAAAATCCAGAAATGTTAGCTATGAACATTGAATTTGCTACAAAAAAATCAAGATATATCCTTCTCAGCTGACCTAGTCCTTGATAAAGCTGTTCTTGCTTCCTGCTAAACTCAGAACTCTAAGAAAACAAAGTTCAGCTGTTTGCACATATGCATTTGATACACGCACACAGAGTGAATTTCATCTTTTCACACACAAGCCCAACTATGTGCAGGTAACTAAATGGAGGGTGAAAGATGGAATTCACCCCAGCTCATGGGTAAACCACAGACTGCAATGCAGTCTCTCCATGGACACTTACTGTAACTGTTCCAACCAATAAGCTGGAATAGCCTCTGCTGTATCTCCGCACATTGTGCAGGGATATTGGGCCCTGGATCCAAAAACTTATAAATCCTGAGACCTTACCTCCAGCCATTCACACTCAGCAGCGAGACCATCCCTCTGTAGCCCATGAGGGTCACAGAGCTCCTATTCCCATCATTGCAGGGCTTGAGCTTGGAGGGCCTTGAATTTCCTCCTTTATAAGCAAACTGCCTCAGACAGCCTAAAAATTGTATTAACAATTAGCAAGTACATCTTGAAAATACTATTTCCTGGTGTTTATAAATAAATAGTTTTTTGACAGAAATGTAAATATTCATCCTGGAACTCGTACATATGTTTTGAAGGCATTTTCTTCTGTATTCAGCTGTATATATGTGTAGAGTCTGCTTGCGATGGAACATTCTGTTATGCATGCAGCTGGGTTAGGCATTATGTTTGTTCAGTGCTTCAAAAGCCTTAAGCATGTGTGCCCTAATTTTTGAATATACGAGACTTTTTTATGTCAGGTGAAATAAAATATGAACTAATTTTCTATTTTTATTAATTTTCTGATAATGTACTTCACTAGCTCTTTACTACCATGATATGGATTTAGTATTTTCTCATTGCTCAAAAAATAGAATATGCAAGCCACATCTGGAAAGGAGGGATATGTATGGTCCTAAAACGGACACACTGTCCCTCTAATCCAAAAGTATTTGTGTTGGACTGAATAAGGTTAAATAGCAACAGGCAATGTTTTCATTGGGCGTCCTTCAATCAAAACAAATATTTGTGTTAAAGGTCATTTTGTTTTGTTAAGAACAGAGCAAATGACAATTTAAGAGTGCTGGATTTTTAAATCACTTTAATCAAAATATGAATACAGTCATAGTTGGTTTTGATTGAATTGTAGCTGAAGAAAGCACATGTACCAAGAAGCTGGGGTGGGCGGGAGGGAAAATGTCTCTTTTGGAGGAATTTTTCACTGTAGCATTTCCTGTCAGATGACTTGGGAATACTTCAGTGAGTACTCAAGATTCATTTTCCATCTTTCCTAATATTTAGATTCAGTGCAGATATTGATTCTTTATGGGGATTTTTTTAAAACATAGATGGCAAGGGCAATTTATAAATGAAGGAAGTAATTAATTAGAAAAGCGTGTTGATAGCAACTGAACTTTAGGTGTATCATTATATGTGAATGGCTGTATTTATGTATTTATTTGTCAAAATTGTATGTATTGTTTTACCTACTGTAAGTGTCTGTAAAAGTGAATTCTTTCAAAGTATTATTTAGGGTTTTGTGGGATTGCCAGTCAAGCTGCTAATCAAGATACTATTTTTTGTATAAATGTCAAATTAAAAAAAAACAACGAACAAATGAAGGCAAATGAAAACCTGACAGTGTCAATGTACAGTTTGCTTCTTCACCTCTCTCTTTCTCAACATGTAAACTATTATCAGAAAGCACGATGCTAATGTATAGGCCCATCTGCCATGAGAAAGAGCACTGTTCTGTAAAAGATGATTTTTTTTAAACATTGGGAAAAATAAACAAAAGGAGAAATTACTGTATTGTTCATCATTTCTGTAGATTTCCTCAAGCTACTGTACACATCGTTCAAATGTTCAGTGGTTTTCGACCCTGAAGAGTCAATCTTGAAACAAAACCTGATAAGGGCTGGGCTTTTTCAGAGGGGGCTATTGGGTTCCTAGCTCATTTCAGCTCCTTTGACAATCCCAGCTAATGATGTTAAGGAGCCAGGCTATGCAGTTCTGAGTTGAAGATGGGGTGCAGCCAGTGATGAGCTGCCAAAATCTTAACAACCGGTTCCCTATAAAAAGTTCTGATTTAAGGGAGTCCCCAGTATGTAGGAGAGCAATACAGCGGTGCATAGACAATCCAGGAAGTTTTTGGAAAGCGTAGGGGACAATTTCCTGGCGCAAGTGCTAGAGGAGCCAACTAGGGGGGGCGCTTTTCTTGACCTGCTGCTCACAAACCGGGTAGAATTAGTGGGGGAAGCAAAAGTGGATGGGAATCTGGGAGGCAGTGACCATGAGTTGGTTGAGTTCAGGATCCTGACACAGGGAAGAAAGGTAAGCAGCACGATACGGACCCTGGACTTCAGGAAAGCAGACTTCGACTCCCTCAGGGAACGGATGGCCAGGATCCCCTGGGGGACTAACTTGAAGGGGAAAGGAGTCCAGGAGAGCTGGCTGTATTTCAAGGAATCCCTGTTGAGGTTACAGGGACAAACCATCCCGATGAGTCGAAAGAATAGTAAATATGGCAGGCGACCAGCTTGGCTTAATGATGAAATCTTAGCGGATCTTAAACATAAAAAAGAAGCTTATAAGAAGTGGAAGGTTGGACATATGACCAGGGAAGAGTATAAAAATATTGCTCGGGCATGTAGGAATGTTATCAGGAGGGCCAAATCGCACCTGGAGCTGCAGCTAGCCAGAGATGTCAAGAGTAACAAGAAGGGTTTCTTCAGGTATGTTGGCAACAAGAAGAAAGCCAAGGAATGTGTGGGCCCCTTACTGAATGAGGGAGGCAAACTAGTGACAGAGGATGTGGAAAAAGCTAATGTACTCAATGCTTTTTTTGCCTCTGTTTTCACTAAAAAGGTCAGCTCCCAGACTGCTACGCTGGGCATCACAAAATGGGGAAGAGATGGCCAGCCCTCTGTGGAGATAGAGGTGGTTAGGGACTATTTAGAAAAGCTGGACGTGCACAAGTCCATGGGGCCGGACGAGTTGCATCCGAGAGTGCTGAAGGAATTGGCGGCTGTGATTGCAGAGCCATTGGCCATTATCTTTGAAAACTCGTGGCGAACCGGGGAAGTCCCGGATGACTGGAAAAAGGCTAATGTAGTGCCAATCTTTAAAAAAGGGAAGAAGGAGGATCCTGGGAACTACAGGCCAGTCAGCCTCACTTCAGTCCCTGGAAAAATCACGGAGCAGGTCCTCAAAGAATCAATCCTGAAGCACTTGCATGAGAGGAAAGTGATCAGGAACAGCCAGCATGGATTCACCAAGGGAAGGTCATGCCTGACTAATCTAATCGCCTTTTATGATGAGATTACTGGTTCTGTGGATGAAGGGAAAGCAGTGGATGTATTGTTTCTTGACTTTAGCAAAGCTTTTGACACGGTCTCCCACAGTATTCTTGTCAGCAAGTTAAGGAAGTATGGGCTGGATGAATGCACTACAAGGTGGGTAGAAAGCTGGCTAGATTGTCGGGCTCAACGGGTAGTGATCAATGGCTCCATATCTAGTTGGCAGCCGGTATCAAGTGGAGTACCCCAAGGGTCGGTCCTGGGGCCGGTTTTGTTCAATATCTTCATAAATGATCTGGAGGATGGTGTGGATTGCACTCTCAGCAAATTTGCGGATGATACTAAACTGGGAGGAGTGGTAGATACGCTGGAGGGGAGGGATAGGATACAGAAAGACCTAGACAAATTGGAGGATTGGGCCAAAAGAAATCTGATGAGGTTCAATAAGGATAAGTGCAGGGTCCTGCACTTAGGACGGAAGAACCCAATGCACAGCTACAGACTAGGGACCGAATGGCTAGGCAGCAGTTCTGCGGAAAAGGACCTAGGGGTAACAGTGGACGAGAAGCTGGATATGAGTCAGCAGTGTGCCCTTGTTGCCAAGAAGGCCAATGGCATTTTGGGATGTATAGGTAGGCGCATAGCGAGCAGATCGAGGGACGTGATCGTTCCCCTCTATTCGACATTGGTGAGGCCTCATCTGGAGTACTGTGTCCAGTTTTGGGCCCCACACTTCAAGAAGGATGTGGATAAATTGGAGAGAGTCCAGCGAAGGGCAACAAAAATGATTAGGGGCCTGGAACACATGAGTTATGAGGAGAGGCTGAGGGAGCTGGGATTGTTTAGCCAGCAGAAGAGAAGAATGAGGGGGGATTTGATAGCTGCTTTAAACTACATGAAAGGGGGTTCCAAAGAGGATGGCTCTAGACTGTTCTCAATGGTAGCAGATGACAGAACGAGGAGTAATGGTCTCAAGTTGCAGTGGGGGAGGTTTAGATTGGATATTAGGAAAAACTTTTTCACTAAGAGGGTGGTGAAACACTGGAATGCGTTACCTAGGGAGGTGGTAGAATCTCCTTCCTTAGAGGTTTTTAAGGTCAGGCTTGACAAAGCCCTGGCTGGGATGATTTAACTGGGAATTGGTCCTGCTTTGAGCAGGGGGTTGGACTAGATGACCTTCTGGGGTCCCTTCCAACCCTGATATTCTATGATTCTATGATTCTATGTATTTTTTGTACCAACATGGTTATCATATGTCCGTATTTTCCCGGGAGGAATTTTTAAAATTTAAAAATTTAAAAATTCCTCCTGGACGGCGATTTAAGAACCAAAAAGCCTGACCTGTCCGGGAAAATACGGATGTATGTTAACCCTGACTAAAGTTCTTTTTTAAAAAGATGGGCCTGAACTAGAAATGAGCTCCGTTTCACATGTGTGGGTCCCCGCCACTCCCTGGGGGTGTGCTAGGGTGACCAGATGTCCCGATTTTATAGGGACAGTCCCGGTTTTGGGGTCTTTTTCTTATATAGGCTCCTATTACCCCCCACCCCCATCCTGATTTTTCACACTTGCTGTCTGGTCACCCTAAGGTGTGCACATGTGTGGGTCCCAGCTGCTCCCTGCCCCCCTCATTTAAGCAGATGTGCAGGGTTACTGTCCTGGGAACTGCAGGGCATCAGTGGACGTGGGGCCACCTGCAGACAGGGGCGTGGGCCACGGCTAGCTGGAGGCAGGGGGTGCAGGGCTGGCTGCGGGCAGGGCAGGGGGTGCGGAGCTGGCTGGAGACAGGAGGGTGCAGGGTTGGCTAGAGGCCAGGGGGTGTGGGGCTGGCTGAAGACAGGAGGGTGCAGGGTTGGCTAGAAGCCAGGGGGTGTGGGGCTGGCTGAAGACAGGGCAGGGGCTGACTGGAGGTAAGGCATGCGGCAGGGGCTGGCTGCGGGCAGGGCAGGGGGTGCGGCAGGGGCTGGTGCGGGCAGGGCAGAGGGTGCGGGGGTGGCTGGAGACAGGGGCTGGCTGTGGGCAGGGCAGGGGGTGCGTGCAGCAGGGGTTGGCTGGATACAGGGCAGGGGGTGCGGCAGGGGCTGGCTGCGGGCAGGGCAGGGGGTGCGTGCGGTAGGGGTTAGCTGGATTCAGGGCAGGGGGTGCTGCAGGGGCTGGCTGCAGGCAGGGGGTGCATGGGTGGCTGGAGATGGGCTGGCTGCGGGCAGGGCAGGGCGTGCAGCAGGGGCTGGCTGTGGGCAGGGCAGGGGGTGCGGGGGTGGCTGGAGATGGGCTGGCTGCAGGCAGGGCGTACAGCAGGGACTGGCTGCAGGCAGGGGGTGCAGGGGTGGCTGGAGACAGGGACTGGCTGCAGGCAGGGGGGTGCGGCAGGGGCTGGTGCGGGCAGGGGGTGCGGGGTTGCTGGAGACGGGCTGGCTGCGGGCAGGGCAGGGGGTGCGGCAGGGACTGGTGCGGGCAGGGCAGGGAGTGGCTGGAGATGGGCTGGTGCAGGCACGGCAGAGGGTGGCTGGAGACAGGGGCTGGCTGTGGGTAGGGCAGGGGGTGCATGCGGCAGGGGCTGGTTGCAGGCGGGGGTGCAGGGGTGGCTGGAGACGGGGTGGCTGCAGGCAGGGTGTGTGGGGGTGACTGGAGACAGGGGCTGGCTGCGGGCAGGGCAGGGGGTGCGTGCGGCAGAGGCTGGTTGCAGGCAGGGGGTGCAGGGGTGGCTGGAGATGGGCTGGTGCGGGCAGGGGGTGCCAGGATGTGGCAGGGGCTGGCTGCAGACAGGGCAGGGGGTGGCTGGAGACAGGGGCTGGCTGCGGGCAGGGCAGGGGGTGCGGCAGGGACTGGTGCGGGCAGGGCAGGGAGTGGCTGGAGATGGGCTGGTGCGGGCATGGCAGGGGGTGGCTGGAGACAGGGGCTGGCTGTGGGTAGGGCAGGGTGTGTGTCCGGCAGGGGCTGGTTGCAGGCGGGCGTGCAGGGGTGGCTGGAGACGGGGTGGCTGCAGGCAGGGTGTGCGGGGGTGGCTGGAGACAGGGGCTGGCTGCGGGCAGGGCAGGGGGTGTGTGAGGCAGAGGCTGGTTGCAGGCAGGGGGTGCAGGGGTTGCTGGAGATGGGCTGGTGCGGGCGGGGGGTACCAGGATGTGGCAGGGGCTGGCTGCAGACAGGGCAGGGAGTGGCTGGAGACAGGGGCTGGCTGTGGGCAGGGCGGGGGTGCGGCAGGTGCTGGCTGGAGGCAGGGCAGGGGGTGGCTGGAGACGGGGGCTGGCTGCAGGGGTGGCTGAGGCGAGGCAGGGCAGGGGGTGCAGCAGGGGCTGGCTGCAGGCAGGAGGTGCGGGGGTGGCTGGAGACAGGGGCTGGTTGCGGGCAGGGCAGGGGGTGTGTGCAGTAGGGGCTGGCTACAGGCAGGGGGTGTTGGGGTGGCTGTGGACGGGAGGTGGCTGCAGGCAGGGGGTCCGGCAGGGGCTGGTGCAGGCAGGGCAGGGGGTCCGGCAGGGGCTGGCTGCAGGCAGGAGGTGCGGGAGTGGCT